GGGGGGGGGGGGGGAGGGGGGTAATAATTTCGGAATAACTAATCCCAAGATAATTAATCCTGAAAGAACTTGTTTCTCGACCAAATGACTCTCAAGTTAAAATTTGTTCCCGTCTTAATAAATATTACAGTTGTTGATTATACTGGACTAATCTCAGCTCTTTTGGGAAACAGAAAATTCTCTTCGAATTTAGTTGATTTGATCTATGTGCAGTCTTCTTTTCTCCATTCGTCCAATAATTCAATATACTCATTAGTTGCATTGCTAGTGATGCTTTTCTCACTTCATACATAGTGAAAACCATAAAACCCACTCCCAAAAATTACTGCTATCTACAAAGTTTAGGATAAAGAAAACTAATGCCAAATAAGATAGGGAAGGTAGCATGCAAAAATTCACTATATGTTTTCCCTTTTTTCTTTCTTCTTATCCACCATTCACGACCTCACCCCATCTAAAACGCAATTGTTAATCTTGTCAAAACAAGAATAAATTGAAAGAAACATTTATGTAATGATCAAATGACAATAATTGAATGCTCTAGCCTGATTGTTAATTTGTCGAGAATTGGTTCCGTTCCTATAGATAGAATAATCTTGCCAGCATGACGATTGACGAACAGAGAAATATTTTCAGAAAGAGAGAACTTTTAAAACTAATCGCCAATTTTCTATTTTAATCGGGTCATGTCAAAGGTGTTATATTATATACTTCTATGGAGGTCTCGTCACTTCCTGTTGTAAATATGATCATTCATTTATCATCATTCTTGTAATATTTGCCCAATAAAATTGTGTTAGTACTAGGATAATCAATTAAATACTTCACACTTAATCAGATACTTGGTGTTCGAGTATCGAAATAAAACTACTCATAATAGAAATTGTTTCGTATTAATAGGTTTCTATGTGACACGAACTGAACTAGTATATTCGAATATGAGAAGATAACGAAAAAAACAAATTCAGTCGGTCTGACGTGGAATTGTCAGAAAATGCCACGTAAAATAAAGAGGCACTACCTGAAATGTCTTGACTTATATTTTCCATGTATATCCTATTAATGGAAGAAAGTATTTGCCCAATTCACTTCAAATAGTTGAACTTTCCAGTTTGCGGTTATGGCTCTTTTGCAGAAAGCGTCAACAGCAACTTCTCGTCCTGTTTTAATCTCCTACATAAGATCAGCTATTCACACCACCACGCCATCTCACACGGCTTCATCCTCAACGCCGCCGGCGGAAGTCGGGAGTTCACGGCCACCGGCGACAAAAACGTCGACGTCGCCGGCGCTACCTAAAGCTGTAGAATATGTGATTTCTAAGGTAGATGACTTGATGAATTGGGCCCGACGTGGCTCCATATGGCCCATGACTTTCGGCCTGGCTTGTTGCGCTGTTGAGATGATGCATACCGGTGCGTCCAGGTATGATTTGGATCGGTTCGGTATCATATTCCGACCCAGCCCGAGACAGTCCGATTGCATGATTGTTGCTGGTACACTTACCAATAAAATGGCCCCTGCCCTGCGAAGGTAACTACTTCGTCAATCTATAAGGTGGCAAAATTAACTCAATTTTAAGTAACCCGTCCAATTTGCCAATTTATAAGGGTGAATTATGATCGGTTTGTTTACTTGACCAACTGGTTAAACTCAACATGATCCATTAAACCATTTGGTCAAAAAATTGTAAGCTCGAAATGATCCGTCAAATCATTAATTAGGACAAAAATATTACTACCTTATAACCAAATTTGGAGATTGAGACTTATAAAAATTTAAAAGAATATAAGCTTATAATTAAGACAAATATATTAGCTTCCACATTTTTTAAATTAAAAAGGCGGAGAGGTTAACTCAAGTTGAGCATGTTGGAAGAAGCCGGTTTACTGTCCAATTTATGATGCTCGTAAACTCATGGTCTTTCCGTCAAATTAAGTATTTTATATACATAATTCTTAAAATTAATCTAATATTAACTGTTCGCTCCAAAAAGCTTGAGTGGTGAAGTTGGTTGTGTTGAGTTATTTATCCGAAGGAATAATTATTAATTTCCACTTAATATTTTTTTCTTCTTCTTTCTGTAGTTTTGCACCCATGTTCTTGAAATTCTAGATCTGCTTTTACGTGTTGGGTCATGATAAGTTATTTGATTCGTTTAGATTAAACTCGTTTTCATTCAAGTAAGTGAGTTGGGTCGCGGCTCATTTATTGATTTGATCTATTTTGACTCTCATAAGCAATGGCGGAGCCACCTTATAGGAAGGGGTGTCAAATGACACTCACCACTTCGTAGAAAAAATATATTGTGTAAGTAGGTAAAAAGATATATAATTGTATTGACTCCCTTAATTTTCTGGTATGTTTTTTGATAATCTTTTAACAGTTTATTTGTTTGAATAATGCGTAGGGTGTATGATCAGATGCCAGAACCGAGGTGGGTAATATCGATGGGGAGCTGTGCGAATGGAGGTGGTTATTACCATTACTCTTACTCGGTAGTGAGGGGCTGCGATAGGATAGTTCCAGTTGATATTTACGTACCAGGTTGTCCTCCGACAGCAGAGGCATTGCTCTATGGTATACTGCAGCTTCAGAAGAAAATTAATCGTAGAAAAGATTTTCTTCATTGGTGGACCAAGTGAGATGATCGAGCCCTCTTAATTATTGTACAGTGTATATATACTGCAGATATCAGGGTGGTGTTTTGATGTTTGTGCGTTGCGCGTGTTGTGTGTGTGTGTGAGTGAACTGTACGCCATTCTACACAAAACAGAAGCAGCAGGGAAGATTTTGGTCAGTCTGTTCTATTGTGTGTGTAAATATAGCAAAATAGTATAACTAGAATGTGATCATCTATGCAATTTCTAAAAAAAATGTTAGGACTGTATTATATTTTGATGAATTGATGTGTGTTTAATTTCCATATCTATTTCTGCTACATATGTATTTGATCCAGTTTCCAGACCTTCCAACTTATATAGTTTCTTGGGGTGTTAAATGGGCGGGTTGAACCGATTTTGGACGGGTCAAAACGCGTTGAACCAATAATTGGGCGGGTTAAAGATGGGCTAAAATTTGGGTCATAGCCAAACCAACCCAACTCTTATCAATCTTTATTTAATAAATGTTATTTTCTTTTGAATTGTATAATTACTAAATAAGACTTTTCTTTTCTTTTCTTTTCTTTTGTTATGGTCATATATAACATATCAAACAAAAATTAAATTTATTTTAAAGATATTTTGGCAAAGTTATTCATGGTTCAATTTGGGTTATGGGTTGAGATGTATTGGGTCAAAATGAGTTGAGTTCAATAAATGTGCAGGTCACTAAACAGGGAGAAATTAAAAAATAGCCAGATTTACAAGTGGTAGTTAAAAAGTAGCCCAAGTTCAAAAGTAATAGAAATTTAGCCACTTTTCATGTAAAGATAAATTTGAACGAAAACACTGTTCAAAATCCGGAAAAATACTCCAGCATAATATGCTGGAGTTCTAGTATATTAGACTGGAGTTCCAGTTTAATATACTGGAGTTCCAGTATAATATACCGGTCCAACATAATATACTGGAGTTTGGAGCATCGTTATTCCAGTCTCCAGTATATTACACTAGAGCCAGCAAAGTATACTGGTCCATCATAATATGTTGGAATTTCATACACATGTGTATCGAATTCCAGTATATTATGTTGGACCGGTCTCTGTTGCAACAAAATAGTGACTATTTTTCATTGACTTGGTAAACGCTGGCTATTTTTGAATGAGTAGTCACAAAACTGGCTAGACCGTGCTATTTTTACCACTAAACATCGTAACCTTGGGCGGGTCATTTGGGCTTGGGCCAAATTTGACAAGCCTAGTTGTTTCAAATTCAATCACCACCATTACTCGCAGTTTAGGTGTTACTTTCCACGTTGCTGGTTGTATGAACAATTTGAAATTACATTGTGATGACCCGCCATGTCATCATGCCACATAGCTGCCATTTGGCATATATTAATGCCATGTGGAAGCTTACATAAGAAGAATGCTAGCATTTGTGAGAAGATTCTAAAGATATGGACATTTCCTTAGGAAGAACCTAGATCCTTATGGATTTGCTAGGAAAGTCCTTGGAATCTTCTAGGCTTGTAGAGAATTCTAGAAAAAGCATTTATCTTGTAAATATCAAGGACTTGTGTAATAATTAATATTTACAAACTAGCCCCTATGAGACTAGTATATAAAAGGGATCATTCATTTGTAATTCATCAAGCAAACAATTCAAGTTCTCTCTAATACAAAGCTTCCTCTAACAATTCTCTTGTGTTCTTTCTTCCATTCTCTTAGTGATCTTGAGTGTAGTAAGGCTGACTTGACATAGCAAGAACGTGAGCAAGTTGTGCAAGATCGTGAGCGAGTTGTCAAGTGTCTCACGTGTACTTAGTTAACAACTAAGGACGTGACAATGTGGTATCAGAGCGAAGGTTTCAACTAAGGGAATGGTGAACGATGGAGAAATTAACGTTGCCAACACCCAAGCCAACGTCATCCAGGATGTTGCTGGCAAGATCGGCCGTAGCAAAAAGAGGAATGCCACCAACAAGAGCCAGGAGGTGCCACCTGAGGTTGTGTCAAACGAAGGGCTTACATCCCAAGAACCATCTGCCACTGAGGCGAGCGAGAATGAAGTGGAGGTCCTTCCAGAGGACGTCTTGCTCGGTAAAGAGTGGGTGATGAAGATGAACGCGGGGATGGACGCCGTGGAGATCTTTTTCCAACGGTTGGGGAAGGTGGAAGGCACCCTTAACGTTCTTGAGGGTCATACTCTTGATGAGATTGAGAGTATCCGAAATGACTTGGAGGGACATACACAGACTGAGATGGAACTAAGGCAAACCATCACTGCCTTAGAGTGCAGACTCATGGAGGCTTTGAGTACTATCGATGATATGAAGGCAAATATAGAATCACTCGATGAGCATGTTAATGCTGGCGTGACCGAGGTAGCCAGTAATGTTGTGGTGACGAGGGAGGCCAAGATCGAGGCTCCCAAACCCCCGGTGTTCAAAGGTGTTCGTGATGCACAAGAAGTGGAAAACTTCCTTTGGCACTTGGAGAACTACTTCAGGCATGGAAAAGTGAGGGACGACGAGGCCAAAATCAACACTGCGGTATTGTACCTATCAAAGACTTCCATGCTATGGTGGAGAAGGAAGATGGCCGACGTGGATAAAGGTCTATGTACTATTAGCATATGGGATCAGTTCAAAGCGGAGTTCAAGCGACAGTTCTTTCCAAACAATGTCTTGTACGAGGCAAGGCGCAAGCTTAGGGAATTGAAGCAAATAGGGAGCATACGTAACTATGTCAAGGAGTTCACTACCCTTATGCTTCAAATCCCCAACCTGACCAANATGACCAATGATAACTTGTTGTTCCACTTCATGGACGGGTTGCAAAATTGGGCTAAACAGGAGTTGCAACGCCGACAAGTCACTGATATAGACCAAGCCATAGTGGAGGCTGAATCATTGATGGATTTCAGGCATGACAAGCACGACAAAGGCAATGGCAAGGAGTCAAAGGTTAACAATGTCAAAGGTGGGGGAGGCCGTGGCAAAGTCAAGGAGATACAACAACAATATTCCAAGACTCAAGATTTCAAAAGGTCGAGTGGTCGTCAGGGCTACGCCGAGAAGAAGGCGCAGGTCGAGAAGAAGGGATGCTATATATGCGGAGGGCCACATGGATTCAGGAATTGTCCTGACCTCAAGAGCCTCAGTGCCATAGTACGCGAGCGGAAGAAGCAGCCACAAGGAGAGAGTCAGGGAACCGCACAGTTGGGTATGATCGGATTATGTGGTGCTGTCACGAAGCAATCTATCCAACCTACCAAGAATGGCAATCAGTACGTGGATCTCACCATCAACAACAAGCCCGCTCGTGCAATGGTGGATACTGGAGCAACTCATAATTTCGTGACTGAGGCTGCCGCAAAGAGACTGGAATTGAAGCTTGCTCCAACCAACTCTCGCGTCAAGACCGTGAATGATGAGATACAGAATGCTCGTGGGGTAGCTAATGGATTTGGTGTCAAATTGGGAACTTGTAAAGGTATGACAAACTTTACCATAACCGCTATGGATATCTTTGACATCATACTGGGGCAAGAGTTCTTTAGACATTGTCATACTTTAATCGACCCCTACCTCCAACGTCTCTTGGTTATGCAGCGAGAATGAGCTTGCATGGTACCTACAGTGACTATGCCACACGAACAGATCCAAGCACAACTCTCAGCTATGAAGGTTGTCAAGGGGATCAAGTATGGGGAGCCGACGTTCGTGGCAACCATTGCAAGTCTAGAGGAAAACAAAAAATTTCAAGAGACAGTGCCGCCTTGCATAGAGAAGTTGCTTAAGGAAAACAAAGATGTCATGCCCAAGGAGTTGCCTAAGCACTTGCCGCCCAGGCGAGAGGTGGATCACAAGATTGAGTTGGAGCCAGGGGATAAGCCACCCGCATTATCCCCATATCGTATGGCACCTCCCGAGCTAGAGGAGCTCAGGAAACAATTGAATGAGCTACTAGATGCCGGTCACATTCGCCCATCAAAGGCACCGTTTGGCGCACCAGTATTGTTCCAGAAGAAGAAGGATGGATCGTTACGTTTGTGCATAGACTACCAAGCACTTAATAAGGTCACCATGAAGAATAAAAAGTACTCGATCCCGCTCATTGCTGACTTGTTCAATAGACTTGGGCAAGCCAAGTACTTTACCAAGGTGGATCTTCGAAAGGGCTACTACCAGGTTCGCATTGTGGAAGGGGATGAGCCAAAGACAGCATGTGTGACGAGATATGGGGCCTTTGAGTGGTTGGTGATGCCCTTCTGCTTAACCAATGCACCGACCACATTTTGCACCCTTATCAACAAGATCTTCCATCCCTACCTTGATCAGTTCGTGGTAGTCTACCTAGATGACATGGTTATCTACAACAACACCTTGGAGGAGCACATGGAGAACTTAAGGAAGGTTTTCCAAGTCTTGCGAGAGAACGAGCTATACATCAAGAGAGAGAAATGTGAGTTCGCACAATCAAAGGTGCACTTCTTGGGCCATGTCATTAGCAATGGAGACCTACGCATGGACGAGGCTAAGGTACGTGCTATCTAGGAGTGGGAGGCACATATAAAGGTAACTGAGTTGAGATCCTTCCTTGGCCTTGTTAACTACTATCGTCGGTTTATCAGTGGATACTCAGCAAAGGTCGCACCATTGACTGAGTTGTTAAAGAAGAACAAGCCATGGGTTTGGACGGAGCATTGTCAAAAGGCATTTGAATGCCTTAAGACAGCTGTAACAGAGGAGCCAGTCTTGGCATTACCTGACTTTGCCAAGACATTTGAGGTGCACACAGATGCCTCAAATTTCTCCATTGGGGGTGTCCTGATGCAGGATAAGCATCTCATAGCATTTGAGAGCCGCAAGTTAAATGAGACGGAGTGGCGTTACACGGTACAAGAGAAGGAAATGACTGCCATTGTGCATTGCCTTCATACATGGAGACATTATCTGCTCGGGTCGAGGTTCGTGGTCAAGACTGATCATATGGCTACTAGCTACTTTCAGACACAGAAGAAGCTCACACCAAAGCAGGCTAGGTGGCAGGATTTCTTGGCCGAGTTTGATTATGCGCTGGAGTATAAGCCGGGAAAAGGTAATGTTGTAGCCGATGCCTTGAGCCGGAAAGTCGAGCTTGCTGCAATTACTTCAGCGAGATGGGACATTAGGGAAGCTATAAAAGAAGGCATGCAACATGATCTAGCAGCCAAACAACTTATCGAGTTAGCCAACAAAGGCAAGACGAGACGGTTTTGGATAGAAGACGGCCTACTTCTTACCACAGGTCGGCGGGTCTACGTGCCTAAATTTGGA